TGCAGATTAACTAAAGGTATACAAACCTTAACCAAAACATAAAAACCACTTAATTCAATCACTTTTAAAGCAAAAATTTCACAATTTACCAGCATATAAGAATAAAATAAACTAAGCACACCAAGCTAGGTAACAGAGTTAGAATGATATACAGTCAAAAGTCGTTAATCCGGACTCATCGAGACTTCGGCGATTCCGGATTATCGATCATCAGTTTAAATCTGGTGAAATGGCATGCAGAAATTATAAAATTAAAAATATGAAACCGTAATTTACGAAAATAAGAACAATTATGATTTAAAGGGTATCAAAAATTTACAAAAAAAAAAAAGCTTAATATTTATTTGTTTACTTTATTAAACATTTCTTTCAATGTAAGTTGTTTAAGTTGCTTCGTTTTTTATGTTATATACATTCTCTTTAATTCTATAAACAAACATAATTTCTTGTTCAGTTACAAAGTTCCGCTGTTCAAGTGATATAATTGCTGTGTCGAGAATACCGACTAATTTGTCAATCGAATTTTTTTTGTTTTCAATAACCTCTGTCACTTTCTTCGCTATCGGAAGCGACGAGGCATTTGATTTAAATGATATCAAAGACGAGATGAAATACTACATTGAGTAAGCAATTATAAGCCGAATAAAATAAAAACATCTGCCCTTAAGATAAGGATAGTGTTGACAGATCAACTTCCAATTCAATGCTCGCCCCCGCAGCGTTAAAGATAAACAAAGTTTAGATAAACACACGTTAAAGTTTAGATAAACTTTATCCATTTTTTGCAGCAATTCCACTTTTTGTTAATGGACTCCGAAAGATACTTTCGCTTTGTATATCCTTTACATATTAGTAAATATATATCGGAAATTCTATTTGACATAATCGAAAGTTCAAGCTTACTTTATAAAATTGCTCTAACAGTCTGCAAAAAATAATAATCCGGATCCAATTCGAAGATTAAGGAACAACGCAATCTGCAACATTAACTGAAATAGATAATTAGATAATTTAGCTTAGCTTATCCCGTCCGTTATACATTAAACGCGCATTCGTAAACGTATTTGCGCACGCGCACACGCAAATTAGCAGCGGTAAACGGTCTTACGCGCATGCGTCAACGCGACGCTGCGCAGAAAGTTTGTAGCTTTGAGGTCCGGATTATAGATCATTCCGGATTATGGGTGTCCGAAATTAACGACTTTTGACTGTATATATATCTCTATATATAAAAATGATTTAATGAAATTTAAATTTAAATTTAACAAATACGTATAAAAGTAAAAATTAAATTTAAAGCCCAAAAACTTTTTAAAAAAATATATAAAAAAATGTGCAAACATATAAAAGAATTAATTCTCGAACTAATCTACAATATCATTTAAATTCAGAAGTATAAGTAAATCAAGTGCAAAAACAATCCATGAAAATAAATTCAATAATTTAGCAAATTAAAATTAATTCAAACAATTTTTTTTTAAATGCATAAGTGAATGACTGTTGACACACTTATCAAGGGAAAGTTGCCTCCAAACCTAACTCTCTGATCATTCAATTCGTGTTTCGTCATTCATGTAGGCAAGGGTAAAAGTTAAAACCAAAAGTAAAAAGTGAAGAATGTTCAAAAAGAAATACCAATAAAGTGGTACCCTTATAAATTAGCATTTAAGAATTAAAGTTCTAAAAAGAAAAATACTAATGAAGTCTTTTGATAAAAAAGCAAGTAAAGTCAAGTATTAAATTAAACTTTTTTTTATTTAAAAAATAATTTTAAAAAAATTAATTTTTATAAAAAATAATTTAGAAACCAATGTATTTTAGAATTCCTTGCTACAGAAACCTCCCCGACACAAATATGCATATCAATAAAAAGAAACTAAAAAGAACTAGACATAATCCATATAACTAATAAGAAACAAAAAGAACTAATTCACAATTTTTAAAAAGCAAATATATACTTAAAAAATAATTTCATATCTAGAAAATACTTAAATACTACATAAAATTTTTTTAAAAAAATACTTAAAGCAAGTAAATAGTAAGTTTTAATTCTAACTTACCTACTATATGAGCGTTGTGGTCTGCAAAAAGTGTTTTTAAAGAGAAGTAAGTGTGTTCTTCAAATTAATTATATAGATGGCGCTTATGTAGGTAAAGTTGAGTGCCAAGCTGCTATCTTTGCTATATTAAAAATTTTTTTACAAACATTAAAATAAATAAATCTAGAAAAAATTAAATTAAGAATTAAAAATGCATTCAAGGTATGCAATTCAAGTTTTAATCTAAACGATCAATTTTTTAGGGAGTTAAGTCAATCAAGAGATCTAAATTTGCTTGAAGTAAAATAGAGTTAAATGTGAATTAATAAATGTAAACTGTTTGTAATGGGAAATGTGTGTTGAAAATTTGTGTAAATATTGCAATGCAAATAATTAACATAATTAAGTAAAAATGAAATGTTTTAAAATGAAGTTTTAAAGTAAAATTTAAAATGTAAAAAATTTTCTAAAATTTTTTTGAAACGAAGTCCTTAAAAAACCTCTAAAAAATTCCCAGAAATGAATGAAAGAAAATATTAAAAGTTTAATTAACTTGATATTTAATGAAAGAAAATATTGAAAGTTTAATTAACTTGATTTCAACTGGTAAATCAAAACTTAACTAAATACTGGCTAAAGTATGGAAAATTAGAAGAAGAAGATTAAAATCTTCACTCAATTTGGGCTACAATTGAGACTTTTGAAAAGAGTTGGCCCTTTATTAGTAAAAGGAAAGAATCCAGTATTGATTAAATATACATATTTACAAATTTATTTACAATAAAAATTTACAAGATAACTTCTCTACTCTTCTATATCCTTCATTACTTTCCAGCTAAGGTTTAAGACAACGTACATATCAAAGAGCCAAAAATTATAAAGTTAATGCCTGCCTTTTAATATAAATAATAAATTTGGTGGTACTTGGTATCAACTTGAACATTAATTAGCTTTATATTCTTCCTTTAAATTGTCTATTTCAGTACATATATTTTTGTTTTGATTATTGGTTATATGAAACGTGTTTTCTATTACTTTTCTAGAGATATTAGAGTTCCAATTAATTAGTTTAATAATATGAAAATGGAAATTCCTTTTTATCATAAAAATTTAATTTGCTGTGTTTTTAATTTGCAGTCTAGGTGTTCAATCGTATCTTGATTCGTATTGTTTTATTAAGTGTTAAACTATTTGGGTAATTTTGAATGCTCAAAAGTAGAATTATTATTGAAGGTTATAAATCACTGTGTATCTAAAAGTATGATCAAATAGCTTTAATTCCTTTTTATTAAACTTAGTTGGAATTTATATTCAAAGTAAAAGAAATAGGTTACAAATTTGTGTAGAAACTGTTTGCTCCCATAGGAATTCCTCTAACTTGCTGAAGATCTTATTATTGAATTTAATGTAGTTATTAAATAATGCACAATTCAGATAATTCTTCCATTTTCAATATAAGGATGTCAGTTGTCAGGAAAAAGTTGTGGGAGTTGCATTAAACTAGTAAAAAATTTCTTCTAATGATAGGAGAAGTATAAAGGTTTTCAAAAGTCATAACAGTTAATGTTGTGATTTTAAACTTTTAAAATGCTGAAACTGGAGTATTATTATTAACTATAATTGTGGACACAATAACCGTCAGAGTCAAACAAGAAAATATTTTGCGGTTTTGCAGCTGAGGAGGGGTCGGTAAAACCATCGAATAGTCCTGTGAAAATTTGTTGAGAACTGGAACATTATTATAAATAATCCAACTATAGTTGTGTTGTTTGTTAACTAGTTGATGAATTAAAATACATATTTTTTTAAAGTTTAATTGCAAATATGTAATCTATATTCTTTTTATAATTATTTGTACCATTTGCTATAAATATAAATTTGAATGGTGATTTATGGAATTTAGGAAGAGCATCTAGATTTGCTAATCTATTGTAGCTAGATGATTGTGAAATTTGTAGTTTCTATGAATGTTTTAGTTTTGCAATAACATTTTCTTGTGTATTGGTAAGTTTGTAAGTAATGGCATTATTTAGTTCAGTATTAATTAATGAGACATAAAAAAAATTTCATATTATGCTAAAATTATTATTTGTTTAAATATATATCAAATGTTGTATGATCTTATAAATTATATATATATATATGATTGGTGCAGCCGATTGCATTGAAAAGGGGAGGTGCACAACTACATGTTAAAGCGGTCCAAAATATCAACGTTCTGCGGTTACTCTTCCTTGAGTTATGCAATATACGTAGGTACGTACATCTGTACGTCAAGAAAAAAACTCTCATCTGAATCTATTTTAAATTCATTTTACAATCTTTTTTTGGCAAAGACAGTCCTTTATTCTGTCTGTACATACAGATGTTGTGCAAAAACAAAGTTCAGATGGTTTCGAAAGTGATCAAAATGGTTTTTGTTGAAATATAATACACAGAATTTTTTGAGATAATAATATTTGCTTTACTTCGTACAAGGAAGTAAAAATTGAAGAAAAACATCAAAATTTCACTATCTTTCAAGACTTTGAATGTGATGTACAAACTAAATACTTAAAAAAAAAAAAAAAAAAAAAGAATTCCCCCATTTTGTTTAACTAGACAATAGGAAAAATTTCCAGGGTATAGCGATTCGGGGGGGGGAGTGTTTTTTCAACCCAAGCTAATGCACATGAGTGGTTGGAATAAATGGTCATTCCATTTTAAATTTCCATCAGATTTGGGAGATAAATTTCTACTGCTGAAAAAATATGCATTGCTTAGGACAGTTAACATTGTATAAAAACATGTAGCTTATTAAGAGCTTCTAGTAATCTAAGAAGTTTTACTCTCATTCATTGCTGAGGGGTGTTCATAATGCTATTTATGATTTTACCTGTTTCTGTATTAAATTCGATTTCAATTCATAGATTAAAATATGCATTTAGTGAAATACAATGCAAGTGAAATGGTCTTTTGTAGGTACCACATTCTGCTTTAGACAACAGAACTCGTAATAATTTATGGCCTGTGGTTCAGCAGTGGTATAAAAGAATTGATGAATTCCAAATAGCTAATGCATATGGCTTATTCAGAAGGTGAGTTTCCATTACAGGATACTCTGTATCTATGAGTAATTCATTACAGGACATAACTGTAAATAAGGATAAATACTATGTAGAATGAGCAAATTATATATTCTATATGGCATATCTAATTTAATGCATTCTAATTGGCAAATCTCAAATAATAAAATATTATCAGTATTAATAATAAAATTTGTTGTATGTTGCATCACTTCATGTACTGCATAGTTGATATAACAATGCACTTTTGCTTTTCTCCTAATTGATAAGAAATCAAAGTGTTCCTTAAGTTTAGAAGCATTGGTGGCATCACTACTCTTATGTTTGGAAATCATAGTAACACAATTAAAAAGAAAAAAGTGGGGGGGGAGTTCTGATTGTGAGATTTGCAGTAGCATGTTGCTAATGAGAATAGAGAGACTGTTAACACTTTACCGACCAGTAGCGGTTCAACATAGTATGCCCTTTCACCGCCCGCTCAGCCGCAGATCGTCCGAGGCACCGGATCGGATTCGGCCTAGACTGACGTGCGGGAATATATGCGCTTTTCTTAAACTCTGGTAAAATTGTACGCTTCGTGTTATTGTAGGGTAACGAAAATTAGTAAAATCTTTTACTTTAATCATATTAATGTTAAACAATATTTATTTTATCTATTACAATTGTTTTCAGTTTATTATTTACATAAAATAAACCATAATCCATATAACAATATTTGTCAAAAAAAAGAAGTTGTTTAATATTTTTTTAAACTATGATAGCGCTCGAAACAGTCACCTTTGTGTAGTGGGACGTTGCAGTATTTACAAGCGAAAACCGTTCTGCTTAGTTTTTTTTTACTTACACAAACTCTGCATTGTCATAAGGGTTTTTTACATTGACCGCTGGTCACTATATTTACTAGTTTATGCTTTCTGAAATTTGCCAGTTGTCCGGGATGTGGTTCTTGTGGGTTCGGAATTAGGTAGATCCTTACCTTGTTCTTCAGTTTCGCAGTCTTCTATCAATGAAAGTGCCGCTTTGTGCAAAAAATTTTTATATGTAATCTTCTGTCCGTTCAAAGTTGTATATACTTTAAAGGAGTTAAAAAGTGCACAATTGATGAAGAGCATTACAACACGTTTCGTCCATTTTTTTTTTTTTTTTTCCTAAAAATGGAGTAATAGGACAGATATTGATCTGCGTGATCTACGCCCTTCATATATTTATTATAATCTATTATTGAAATAGGCTTCTGTATGGGGCAATCTGATGTCCTGCTTCTGTTTCTAGACTCCGCCATTTTTGCAGAATGTATTGTCGATATCATGTTTACATTCCTTTTGCCATTATTCCATACTTGTAATATATTTTATTACAAGTATATATTTTATTACAAGTATGGAATAATGGCATTTCTAAGAAATTGATGTTGACCTCTTGAAAGCTTGACCGTTTGAAGTATTTGAGGAAGACCTCTGTTCTTTTGAATTGTCCCGCACACTCGCAATTTATTTTTTAAAAAAATTTTAGTTATGTTGACACCATTATAATAATTATCTTGATATATATGGTGCCACATGTTCTTAATACGGTCCAATGACCAATAATACTGTCTCTTCTAATTTTTTTCCATCAGCGGCATACACACATAAGTTGGATACGTATCCTGTACGAGCTTCAGACAGCACTCTAACCAGTATTCCATATTTTGTAATTTTTGCCGGATTATATGTTTTGATTGACAGTCTACCTCTCCACAGAATTAAACATTCATCTAGAGACAATTGTTGATGTGCTTTATATTCGTTGTTAAATTTTTCCTTGAAATAATCAATGATAGGCTGGACCTTCACCAGCCTAAGCGAATTGGGAGAAATATCATTATTATTACAAAAATGCCAGCTTTGCATTATTTGTAAAAATCTATTCTTGCTCATAATCTTCGAGAAGAACGGCATTTCTATAGATGGGTCTGTAGACCCCTAATCATAGAGAACGTCCTTCTTTACTTGTCCCATGAGAATGATCAGACCCAAAAATTTCTTCATTTCAGTCACCGTGACGTCTTTCCATTTTTTCGTTTTTGATGTAATTCTATATTTTTCCACAATTTGATAATGATATCTATTATACTACACGAACCCACGAAGTGCTCAATCAGGTCACTTCCAATGAATAAATGCTCAATCAGGTCACTTACAATGAATAAATTCACAATAACCATTACATTTTTGGAGGAATTCGGCATAATTTTTACGCCAGACCTACCTTCGAAAGGTTCCAAAATTATACTCTTGTCGTTCGATGACCATGTATCACTGTTGTCTTCAACATTATTATTAATGTCCTCGTCTTCTCAATCATTCTCAATCACTGTATATTAGTGGAGCAGGACGTCACTTTCGAATGGCTATACTTCTGCTATCACTTTCGTCATCAGTACTACTTGCTGAATGGCAGTCAAGACAATCTGACAGGTCGTCGAGATAAAACTCTCTGAGACTATCCTTTCCATTCATTTCTAAGGGCTAAAGCTTACAAAAAAGCACCAATTATCTGAATAAAGAATGTGAAATGCTTGCTACTTGTCAATCTAACCTAACCAAATTTAACAGAAAGATCAAAAGTCGATTATTCGACGACCAGTCGGTAAGCGCTGGGGAGCAAACGTCGATTAATTGACGGCCGGTTGGTATGCGCTGAGAAGAAAACGTCGATTAATCGACGGCCGGTCGGTAAAGTGTTAAAATGAAAAAAAAACTGAGAAATTTAACTGTAAAATCGATATATTTGGAGGCAGGTCAGATGTTTTGTCTACTGATAGCCATGACCCTCTGCTGACATTTTTATAGCTATCTTGGGGGGGGGGCTAGATAAAGAAACATACAATTCTGAAGTGAGAGAACCATGAGGTTCAATTTTCATTCCCTTTTCTATTTGGTTACATCTGGTAGGAAAAGTATGGACATGCATATAGTCAGGAATGTAGTGCTTAGCTTGTTTTTATGGCTGAGTTTCATAAAAGGCTATAGGTTGTTTATCCCTTGGGATACCTTCTAAAACTTCAAGGACCTTTTTTTCTTCCATTGTAAACCATAGATACAGGGGTTGACTGTAGTATGTATATTTCTTCATTTTCAAATAGCATGGGAAATTAGCCATCACAATGATATCTGGTTGTAACAAAAGTTTTCCGCCAAAAAGCGTTCTTACTAAAGTTAGGAAAAAACAATGAAAGCAGTACCTTTGGTGCATCTAGTAATCATCACCGAAATCTATGATTTTCTGCCAACGTTTTGCTAGTTTTTCAAAGCATTCGGCCTAGAAACTTGGCCCTCAAAAGTCCAAAAACAGATCAACCTCATTTTGGACGTCCTGTGTAGAATGAAAGACAGCTCCAGCAAGATGTAGCTGGTGGTGTGAAAAAAGGTAAAAGTCCAAAGGAGCGATGTAGGGGCTATATTGTGGGTTTGGTTAAAGATCCTATTTGAGTCCAGCCGGTGAATGCAGACACAGGTGTCTTGCATTATCTTGATGGAACATTCCCATTTTTCAGCAGAAACCTGTTTGACATATTTTTAGATGTTTGTATTAGGATTGACAAGAATTAGGTTATAAATTAAAATGGTGTCTGTTAAAAATGACTTGGTCTTACAGTGACATTATTACCTAAACAAGAGTTAGGTATCTATATTTCAACGTTTCTAGAAGAATTCTCTTTTTATCTCTTTTCCTTCTGATTGTTTATACACTGAGTGGTAAATTTAAGATTTTTTTTTTTTTTTTTTTTTTTTTTGTATTTTTTTTTTATTTCTGAAGCTTCTGTTTCTACTAAAATATATGCATATATCTCCTAAGCTGTAATGGCTGGAGATAACCACAAATAATAAAATCCTTTTGTGAACAACTGTTATGCAGACCTGTAATAATTCTGGCAGCACAGAATTGGATAACTAATATTAAAAAAGTTAGGTATTGAGGCAGCCTGATAAACTTAAAAGCCATAATCCAAAAGAGATAATGAATTAAATAAGTATTAGAGTTTGTGCATTGGCAATTCCAGTTTGTTTCTGAGATGTATATCAAAACACTGAGCCTTCTTTTGCTCTGTCAACAGTGTGTTCAACATGCATATAATTTGTAGTTGTATGATCTATGGTAAATTTTAATTGTTTCAGGTATTTATATTTTAAATGCTGATGAAGTGTGTTATTATATAAATTTTTTTCTAATGGTGTATAAATTTCCAGGTTTTAGTATTTAACTTTTTTCTGTTTAGAGAAATCCTGGATATTTGAGAGAGATTACCATATTTGCCAGCATATTAGATGCATCTCCTTTTTTATACAGATTTTTGAAGGATCATTATAGTAAATTTACAGTTTTTAAAAATAAAAGTAATGCAAACAGAAAGTAATACTTTCTGCAAATACCCAATCTATCTAGGAAACCTTTCGTCAACTCCCAGACACTCATCTCCAGAGCTAAGTCTAAAGTCACTTGAGACCTCTTCTAAATCAGCATCCACACACAAATTGTCCTCTGTACCATCCAGTGCATTACTAATGCCTAACTTTAAATGATTTAACCACTGTCTCTGTTTTCAAAGCATCCCATGAAGCTTTGGCCCATTAATAAACTGAGTATCAGTATATAAGACGCAATATCGACGTATAAGATGTATCCCATTTTCAGACCTATTTAAAAAAAAAAAAAGTGTGTCTTATACGCCGGCAAATACGATAATTTATTTCTGCTTGGAATAAAGTACACCTTCAGAAAATGATATTTTGATATATATATTTTAATGTTATAATTTAAGGTTTATAATATAATTCCTGAAGTAAAATAAAATTAAACTTATAACTGATCATTGGGGAGTGTATTCCAGTTTCCCACTGGTGGCCAAATGTCTTAGATTGCTGAACACTAGTAGATGACCTGTGTTTTAACCCAGGCGAACAGGATATCTGCGTGGTTGGTTTTGCCCATTTGTAACTTAAAAGCAACTCAAAACATGCAAGTTTAAGTTTACACTTGCATGTTTTGAGAGAGGACGGCAAGTTGCTTAACTTCATGTCATCAGAAATAAAACAAGTGTAGATGTTGCTGTAAACATTTTATATCACAATGAAAATTTTCAGTAAATGGGGATAACTCAAAAAATGTTAGCATTTCTAGCTCTTTATATCTTTCTCTAACATCCCTTTTACTTATAAATTTCAAATATGCATCAGTTATTTGCCATAAATAAGGAAACTCTTTAGTCAAAATTAGTTATTTAAACCAATGTTTTTAAAAAATGGAGATGGTCCAGTTAAGATACTAACATTAGATAAGGATTTATTTTAAATTAATGAAACTGCATTTTATGTATGTGTGCATTTATCTGTATATTTGCAAATGAGCATTTTAATGGAGATTCAATTCAGGGAAGTTTTTACAATTTTATATTATATTTGTCTGTGCTATTATTTGTGTTTAAACCTATAAAAAGAACCCTCCTTCTTTCAATAGAATGACTGGTGTGGATGGGCGACCTGAAATAGTTGTTGAAGGCAGTAATAGCTTGGCAACTGGGTGGAAAGAATACCACTTTTTATATAAACCTGGAGAGTTATGTAGGAGGCCTCCCATTCTTAGTAAGTAATGTATTGTGCTAAATTAAGTGAGGTTCTTTCACTATGTTCACTTTTTTTTATAGTAATAAGCAAAATAAAATAGAATCTTATTAATAATCTAAATGGTAATATGTTTGAGAACGATTTATGATTTGCTGTTATTTGCTATTATTTATCACTTTAATATCTTGAATAATTTACGTTGCTACTTATTTTCCTAAGTTTATGACCAAGAGATTCTTTAACTAGGATGTTAAAGTAAGAAAGTGAAATATGATAGAGTCTTGATTATTACATGCTTATATGGACTTCAAAATGTACCAGGTGTACGAATATGAAATGTGGATTTTTTCCCTTAAAAAAAACATGTTAAATTCGGAAGAATGATAAGAAGTGCTTTATGCTTCAATGCTTGTTATACATTTTTTCCATCTTTTGGGCAATTTGTGAATGCTGCACTAGTAAAAATCTTCCCCTTTTCCGGCAAACCATTCATCGAGCCATTTTTTCACATCTTCATACAAACCAAAGTGCTGCTCAACAAGTGCTTGGCTCATCGATGCAAGTGATAATCGGAAGGCGCCAAATCTGGTGAGTAGGTCGCATAGGGTAGAACTTTCCAGCTGAGTGCTTCCAATGTATCTCGAACTCGTTTTGTCATATGTGAGGGAGCATATTCTTGAAGAAACGTGACTTTGTGTTGCCTCTTTCAGTATTCTGGTCTTTTTTCAAGCAGTGAACAGTTCAAATAAGTCAATTGCTATTGGTAATGTTTAGTATTAACTATTTCCCCAGGTTTTAACAGCTCATAATAGACCATGCTCTTCTGGTCCCACCAAACACAGAGCATTGTCTTTCTGCCAAAGCAATTTGGTCTTGCAGTCAATGTGGATAGTGTGCCCGTGTCTATCCATGATTTTTTGCTCTTGGAATTCTCAAAATAAATCCACTTTTCACCCCTTGTAACTGTACAATGCAAAATCGACATCCTTTCATACTGAGTGAGCAAAATGTCGTGTGTTTTTGCGCTTTTTCATTTGCCTATCATTCAACTGATGTGGTACCAATTCCACTTTCCTTGCTGCAACATCAAAATCACCACTTCTGAAATGCCAAAACCATCGTTTACATGTGTTTTGCGATGGAGCATAAGCTTCTTGAAGTAATATCAGTATGATTAAACAACAGATTTCTTCAAATGAAAACAAAAAAAATTAATGCTGTCCATCAATGGTCTTTGTTTGGTGTAAATTTCGACATATTGAACACAACACTGTGAACACATTTTTCCAATTTATCTCTTGTACAGGTCTGACACTTCTTAATGGCATAACAAAATGGTGCAGTGTCAAATCTTTATAGCACAAACTGCATTAGTGGGTCATCTGGTGTCTGAAATTTGCATTTCATACTTCTCCACCTGGTATTCATAAAATTAAATGTTTGTTAATTGAAGTAGATTTTAAAAAATAAAACTTTTGTATCATAAGGATTAGTTCATAAAAATGTTTATTCCATAAATTGGAAATTCTTAAACTCAAAAGTCAGTTGTATTTTCAAGAATGTTATATACAATGAAAACTTGTGAAACTATAAATGAAACTTGTGATCATTCAAACGGGAATATCTTACTTAGATTTTTTATTTTTTAAATGAGCCTTTTTCTGTACTTCATTTTAATAACATATGTTATTTTGATGCAGAGAGTTTGGGAAAATGCTTTATTTCATTAAATATTAGTCACAAATATTTAATCCCAGTTACATTGTAAGAAATTTTACAAAAGTAGTTTCAGCATTAGGTTTCAGGGATTCTATAAATTTAAAGTCGGACTTTTTTATGTTTCCATCAATTAAAAGAGTATGTTAATAAAAGGTTTCTTTATGTTTTTTTAAAGTTAAATACAAATATTTAAATGTGTGTCAATTTTATGGAGACATTCAAAAATGAATTTATTGACTTAGATCACTTTCCATTGTTATTGCTAACAGATTTTCATCATATTTAAGAAGAAACTAGAAGTTTCCCATTCTGGTGATGAGTGATTTTGTGTTGAGTAAAACTATCAACTTTCTAGCTAAATTTAAACTTTAAAAATTTAATTTTTAGCATTTCTTTGAAATAAATGTATGGAAATTTTCATATTTAACTTAGAAAAGTATAATGAAGATTTTTATTAATTTGACTTTTTGCTCGATGTGGGCTATGTAAAAACTTAGACTTTGAATTTATGAAACTATCTGAAAATCCTATACAAATTTTTGCCTTATTTTGAGAAATGTTGTAATTAGAAATACATACCCAAATTTAAGGAAATAAAAATCTGGAGTGACCTTTTTTGAACATCCTGTATATTTTAAAAATGCATTTTTAAAATTGGTCAGAATATTCATTATAATTTTATTGTGCTGACTTCTTTTTCACCAGTGCTTGCCAAATATATAAATGAAAATTTTCTAGTACTGAAGGTTAATATTTCTATTACTTACAGCTGGCAAAGCTTTATTTTCCTGAAAGATGGCATCTTGAAAAATTAAAATTAAATAAAATCTATTCTTCGTGAAATTTTAAGGTACTTCCAAAAGTTTTTTTCTCATGAAGGCAGTTCCTGCTTTATCAAGGTGTAGTTGGAAAAATTATAAACCAAGTGCATTCTTGATTAAAGTCAATTGAAAACTAACATGAGTTGCTTCATGTTTAGTGGCAGAAGTATATTTTTATGCTTTTATATTTAAAACTGCTAATTATTTTCATGAATAATTACAATAATTGTAAAACTGTACAACATAATCATTAGTAGTGTATTTCAAATCATTAACTTGATCATTTTTTACATCATACAGACAGAATTCTAAAATCTACATTTTAAAATATCTTTTTATTAAATTATCTTTAAATAATGTTACATAATTTTTTGACCTTGTGACTTTATTATTTTTGTTTAATTTGTCTGTGCCTTTTAATATTTAATATTCTACCCTTCTTCAAAAAATTATGTTTATACTTGTCATAAATTTTATTCAGACATCTTTTTTCTCCATTTTACTTTTATTTTTAAAATTTTATGTTTAAATATCACCCTCACATTAGATGCTTGAAAATGCACCAAATATGAAAATGAACTTTTAATTGGCTTTGCCCCCGCCCATATAATAATCGCAATTTTTCTTGATAGTGTCTTTATTCACAGTTGCTTGACTTTCCACTAAGTTTAGCCTAAAAATTGTGACAAACATAGCCAAATTATTCAGTCATGCAAGGAATTCCTGTAGCTTTTTAAGCCCTAATAGATATTTAACCCGAATTACATCACTAATTCCAGTACAATACTATAATTTTTCCTTTCTTTTTGTTGGCCTATACTGATACTTTGTATAATGGTATAGATAAAAAATTTTTGTAAATACTTGAATGCATTTGGTTGTATTTTTATTGTTTATTGCTATAATAGCTTGTGTTGTTTTTATTTATTTGTTTGTTTAATTGTTGCATTTTAGATAATAATTTTAGGGTATATTTTTGGTGCAATTGAAGTTATGGCCCACAATATTTTGTATATAAGTGCTTATTTCTTTTATAGCATTGTAGATTTTATGATTTTAATTTCAGTAATGTGTAATTTGGGAAAATAGCGCAGCTAGATCCTGAAATATAGACAGAAACTCTTTTAAGGAATCTTGAAAAGACTTTTTGTCCATGACAGTTACCTTTTGACAGGCCTTGGTGACAATTGCTGAGTTGGTAATTTCTTGAAAACTTGGTAGTTTTTTTATTTGCGTTAAGTGATTTTTTTAAAACTGTTGGAGGGATTTTTCCTAAAGCTTCCGAAGGCAGGGCAAACCTATTTAAACAGTCATGATTGAGCCACAGAAGTGTTCTCTGTGAGAGTGATATTCATAATCTACTATATTTCTCCCATGTAAAGGAGGATTTGCCTTATCTCTGGATTCTCCTTGATTTATTTACAATTGCTCTTTTTCATGCGTAGCATTATTAATTGCAGTGAATTATCAATTTCTTCCTGCCCGTTGGGAATAGTTATTTAAAGAGATCTCTATGAATCCTTTACTTGCAACAGTATCTGTGATTTCAGGTTAGTTTTGCACATCACTATCTGTATTAATCTAATCCATAACTATGCAGAAGAAAGCTAAAGCTACTTCACTGATGAAGTTTTTTAAATCCTAATCCTGCTATATACCCTTATCTTAGAAAATTATTTTTATTGTAGAGAATGCTGCTTTATTACGATTTTTATATTTTCTTAAAATAACCGCTTCACAGCATGACTAACAAAATCATCACATGCAAAACTAAGATAAGTTTCGAACTTTGTGAAGTGAAAATCATATTAGCAGTAAATGATGCACTAGTTGTAATGTTTTCTGTCAATATTGTAGTGTTTAAGTGCTGTTAATAGTACCTGTGGTTTATGAGTTGAAGGATATTATTATTTGGAACCAAACCGGTCATATAATTTTGCCTGATGGATTTTATGTTCCAAAAGCTGCTGATTTTTCTTTTTTAGATTGTTACTCAAAAAAAAAAAAAAAAATGGGGGGGGGGGAATCTTTGTCTTTGAAGCTTAAGGCTTTACTTAACAGTGTGTGGGAAAACAAGTTAATTTTCATTTCATATATTTTTAATTGCTTTCCAGTGTATTTTTTAAATAAATTTTAATTAGTTTTGGGTGGCCACTAACTATTTTCAATTTGATTTATCTTTTATTTCATGTTAAACTGTCAGCATATTGGTGAAAATTTTTTAAGTACATTAAATGTAACCTTTCCTTTTTTTTTTTTTTTTTTTTTTTTTTTTTTTTTGAGCATTTTCCATAGAAAACTGTTAAACAGAAGGATCTGACAAGCCGTAATTTTTTTGTCTCCAATGAACCATTGAACCACTCTCGCACTATTTCAGTAATATCCTCATTTGCAATTTTTTTTATGTTGTTCTTTATATAAATACAGTTCTGCCAGCAAATCAAAATTTCTATTTTGTTCTTTAAAATTTCCTTACATATGAATTTTTATGTACTGAGTATCTTCATGCTCTACTTAGATGATAATGCCTTTAACTCATTTGCTTGGACCATACCTATCTCATTCATTACATATCTAATATGGAGGTTAAGCAAAACTATTATCTTTAAAGCCAAAGAGATATATATTGAACAAGTATACTTTTCACAACTAAAAATTTGCAGTTTTAATCATTGAATAACTTATCTGGAGCTGGAAGGGAGCAGGGTTGTCATGCTACCTGGAAAAGTCAGGGAATTCGCAAATTGAACTCAGGAAAAGTCAAGGAATTTCATATGGTAATCTCGGAAAAAAACACCAAATTCACACTGATGTTGGAAGCCATCACTTTCTTGGCAAGCACAGCTTAAAGAATCATTATTCAGAATTAAGGGTGTTTGAAAAGACACTTTTTTTAACTATGCTGTGGTGTGACTTGATCACTTTTACAAGGACTTGATTAATAACTCAGATTTTGTAGAACTCTGGAGTATTGTAAAACTAGTTCTAATTTTATCACATGGAATGCCACAGTAGAAAGTTGTTTCTCAGTTAATAATGATATGTTGGTGGAAAACCTTCAGGAAAATTCTTTAATAGCAGTGCAAACTGTTTATGATGTCATAAAAGTAAATAGAGGTGTGATGAATATTAATATAACTCCTGATATGTTATGATATGCCAGATCTGCTCATGGAGCATATCATCAAGAAAAAAAGCTATGTGATGGTAAACATAAAAAAAATATTATTGGACAAAAGGAAAGCAAAACACAAATTAAAATTTTGGCATCAAAAAAAAATTGAGGTGTTTCTTCAGTTGCTTCCCAAATTGCAGAATTAAAACAAAAAATCTAGTTTTGTACTAATTTTTTATTCTATTAATATTTTGCTTAAATATTCAAATGTCTTTTTTTCTTTAATTCAATAATAATAAAAAATTACATTTAATTTGTATTATATATGCTTATATTAAATGTTTTTCATCAAAAGGCTGTTGACTTCTTTAAAAAAAAAAAAAAAAAAAAAAAACTGCCCCCCCCCCCCTTTTTTTACCTTGCAGAATTTAGCAAGTGTCATAATATTACTGAGGTGATATTTCAAGAGTTATATATTATTTAATAGGATAGATATAATTGGTTCCCCAAGTAACTTCCATTCCAGAATTTATCTTTAATACTTTTTATAACAATAAAGTTGTTATTCATGACATAATTAATGGTGGAAAAAATCCAGTGTTTAATATTTCATACATTGCCCTGAAAAATAATGGATTTCATTTCTGATTTTGTTTATTATTTAGATGGAATGCATTGTAAATATTTAATTTATTTTGTAAGTAAATGTTTTTATGCATGTAAAACTAATATTCAAGTTATTCTTTTAACTAATTATATTTATGCTGACATTTTATGATAAGTGCATTTCAGTGTCAGTGACTACAAGTATTTCAGATGCACTAACAATCACTACTTGTATTATATACTCATTTGATGTAGTTAAAAAGGGAATTTATTTGGACTTAACTAATTTTATGATGCAGCTGATGATTGCTGAAGAAAATGGTGGTTTAGTATGAAAATATTGTATAGTAAATTTTCTTAGTGTAACAAAAACGTAATTTGAAAGTTATTTAGGGAAAACAACTATTATAGATATAAAAGTAATGCTTTGGGATTATATATATCTATCAGTCATATGTAATAGCAAAATTTGTGTGTTTTCAAGTGGTACAATAATTAATTTACCCTCAGCACAACCAATGTGTGAATAGATTGGAATTTTCTTAAAACACACCTGCAAAAGTTAGGGAATTTCATTGTTCTGTCTGAGTGGAACAAAAAAAAAAAAAAAAAAAAAAAAAAAAAAAAAAAAAAAAAAAAAAAAAAAATAAAAAAAAAAAAAAAAAAAAAAAAAAAAAAAAAAAACTTTGAGATAGAAATATTTAAAAAGATTATTATTCAGAAATCGTTATTAAGAAAATTCTGGTGATTAACATGCTATTAATTCAGATAGAAAGTAGAAAGTAAATGTAAGTAAGAAAAGTGTGCAGTAGTTAGTTTTCAACGCAAGAGAACTTTAAAAAAAAAAAAAATGGAATTTTTGCCTGCTTTTGCATGATCATTTAAAAATGGGGGGTAGAAAAGAGAGAACGAATTTTTTAATGTAAAAAATGGTTTAAAAAATTCTAACTGATACAAAATTTCCACATTAAATCTTGTAGTGTACATTTGATAATAGTATTGGCTTCATTAAAGTGTTGCATTACATTCTACACTAAATGCCAGGAGGTTTTTTTCCACTACAAAACATGAATTTCCACTTAGTAAAGAGCCCTCTTAAAAAAAGTTTTGTTCTTTACATTCAAAACATTAGTTCAACTGTAATTTCAAAATAATGATGGAAAATATATAGTAATAAGTCATTTTTAATATTATAAATATTTCGTTATTATTTTTGACTTGATCTTTATTGTTTTTGTTATCTTTTTATATATCCTTTTGTAGTAAAATTAATACTTTTTTATTTCATAAATTTGTATGTATGAATATATCAATATTTCTGAAAATACTAAAATTAAATATCTTCAGAAATTAATTGTTGGAAGTAAAATGGATCTAAAAGATTCTTTTAGTGTTATATATAAAACAAAAATTTTTTTTGGAATGATTTGGTTTATTCTTCTTATTTCCTTTAATACCCAGTGTGTTTCGTGCACATAACCTGTTGTGTGAATGATATTTCTGATTATGATATCTAGCTAGAACGGTATTATAAAAATTGAATAAAAATTTAAAACACTAATTTTGCTTTTTTTTTTTTTTTTTTTTTTTTTTTTTTTAATACTGCCATATAATGGTGTTCGTAATTTATTGACCGGGCAAAGATACAATACAGAATATGAGATAGGGAAAAAAGACTGGTTGAATTTTATTTAACACTTCAAACAATGTTGTATTAATGCACTTCAGCATAAGCAGCATTAGTTACTCTCAGAATATCAAGTCGATTCTCTGCTTTCCTCCAGTTATTATGAAACATTTGTGGAGTCACAGTAGCTGTTTCTGTGATGGTTCAGTTTTTTTAATGCTTTGATACTTTAAATCTCTGCATAAACTTTTCTTCAAGCAGCCTCAGAATGAGAAGTCATGAAAGTCCGGAGAATGGGATAGCCATGAAATTTTTCTATCCCTACCATATGCACATATGCATCTCAAATGTGGAAACATTTTCATCTCTGATGCTTGGCCTACCTGTACTACTTTATGCAAAATGTGTGGTTTCTTGACTTTGTGTAATCATCTCTTAATTGATTGTGCCATTGGTGGAAGCTTATTAAAGTCATGTTGGATTTGCCTCTGAACTGTTTTCGTAGATTTTGTTTCCCACAACTAGAGAACATGCACTGCTTTTATTTGCATGATGCCTATTTGTATGTAAAGAAACAAGTTCCCTGTTGCCATTCCTAAAAATTAGAACAAATGAAATTCCCAAAACAAAAGATTATATCCATATAAATTATTTCAAGTTACTTTTTAAAGCTATGTTTCAATTTACTTTTGTTGTCTGGTGATTAAATTGTGGACATGTTATATTTCTATTGATTATAGGGATATTTCTAATAGAGCAATACCATGTTGTCACAATCACTTCAAAATAATATTATCAGTGAGCTTTTGTTAAGCAATATCAAATCAATTAGGAAAAAGGCTAATGAATTGTTAACAGCTATTTACTATGGATTGTAATTTTCCTGGAAACATTTTACTTCCATTAATTTTCTCATATATTAAGTTAGAAAATTCACTTTTGTTACACTATTGAACTAAAAAATAAATTAAATGGAATATATTTTCATTTAATTTTGTTTAAATTATAGAAAAGCTAAGTCCAATTTAGGAATTTAAATGTCAGAAATATCTTCAAAATTTAAATAGAAAGTTACAAACCTAAAAAAGTTGCTGAGTGCAATTTTTATTATTATTGTTATTATTAAAAAAGCTTGGAAATCAGCTTGTGTTACATAATGACCTTTTTTCCCCTCCCACAGTTCCTCATCAACCACGCTTGGATTGGCAAATGTGGTTTGCTGCTTTAGGGAATTATGAACACAATCCATGGTTTGTCAGCTTTGTATATCGTCTTTTAGATGGAGAAAAGGATGGTTAGTATGATACATATTTTTTCATTAATATTTTAGTCTGAAATTTATCAGGCGATTCAATACAAGATTAGTATTGCAATAAACATATATTCTTCTTGAAACAAACCTCTGTATTGCCCTTTTATATAAGTTTCCTAATGTGCTTATGTGAGAGATTTACATTTGTAGGTTGTATGATTAATGCAAAAATAAAGGGAGGGGGTCATTTTTAGAAAAAAAAGGGGAGGGTAGGAGAAATAAAAAAAAAATTTTAGCAGTTTTTAATGTAATTATGAATAATAAAACACAGATTTAAGGTTGCTTTGTGGGATTTCTTGATTTTTCGCAAAGAACTAATTAAAAGAAATATATGGCTCGCCAGTGAAGCATACTTTTGTGTTCCAAGCTTTTTCCTTCAGTTAGAATAGAAAACAAACTTGTTTTTTAATTTTGGGTGCAACTGGTATAGAAATTGTGGACATCAATGAACTTCTTGGATGCACATGACAAAAATATATTAAGAGCTGGTCTTCATCTTTTCTCTTTCCTAACTTCTTACATAGAATCTCTAAAGTAGCAGTTTCCAACCTGTGGTATGGATATATGAAAATATCATCAGTAATGTGGAAGACAATGAAAGGTTGTAATAAATACAAATAAAAAAGCAATAATTTCAAAAACCTTCATCATTGAATAAGAGGGAAACTAATTACCAGGATTTTCAATATGGTTGTTATCGCCAAAACTGTGTACAAAATCAATAAAATTAACTGTAGCTTGCTCCATCTCCACCCATCATACTGCTTGATTTCTTTCTCATCACAGGTTGTCCCCTTTTCTTCTTCGGTCTGTGTTGATTGGCAGTCAACCATAATTTCAATATTGAATTAATCATCAATTAACAGTTGTATAGATTTTTATAATTGTAACAGATATCTATAATTGTAACATTCAAACAAATTTGAGTGTGAAGTTTTGTTTTAAAGTTTGTTCTTTTAGGGTTATTTAAGTATTATTTATATAAAAATGCATAAACAGCTAAAAAGTTAATCCTTACACAGAATTGAAACTACCATGGATAATAGTGCAAATCTGGCATCTGTGGCAAATGCTTCCAAGGTATCAGTAGATATATCAATTATGTATCGGGAGAAAGCTGTTGCTGGTAAGAGATGAGCTTGACCAAGTAGGAAGAAAATGCAAAATAGATGTTCTGCATAGCAGAAAAGGAAGTGTTCAGATGAACAGTTAAAATAGAGATTTTTATTGTTCATAAGAGATGGAAACAGCCCCAATCTTATTTGTATAGAATATGGAGAGGTTTTATCAAATAGAAAAATGAAACCATAATTCCTGTTGCATCATTTAAAAATCAAACCTCCTAATCAGAAGCATTAAGAAGTAAGTGACAAGGCATTAAAATGTTTTACTATTTATGAAAGAGCATTCTCGTTTTATACATTACCAACTGAATGTTACTCCCAATTTAAGACTTTACTGTTCTAAATTTGATTCTACTTCAAAATATTGAGCTCAGTAAAGCAGTCTCAAAGGTCACATAAATTATAAGCTTAAACAGCAATGCAAAACTACCTTTCCAAATTTGTCGTTTAATGTTTTTCATTATTTTTTAGGCATGCAATATAATGCTGTATCATTCATTTTATGTTCAAGTGTAAGGGCAGTTTGCTTGTTTTTTAAATTGAATTAAATATAATTTTGTCTTAAATTTAGTAAGAATGAAGTTGCATATTAATTCCCTTTAAACTATTATAGGCCTAGCGTTTTATTGTTGTACAATATTGTTTCAAGAATAGTTCGTGTTTTCGGTATCGGTATAATTACTAGTCAATAAATTCATTAATTTACAAGTTTTCTCTTTAAAAAGAGGGTGATATTTTAAATTATCAGTACATAAAAAATGTAACACTTTATTTTTAAAGTATGTGTTATTGCTACATTTATTTAAAAATAAATATTGTGATAATCAATTTTTGTTTAATTATGTTTATTTTTTGTTTATTTTGTTTAATTATGTTATGCCCATGCATCAACGCATTATGCGTTGACGCATGGGCAGAAAGTTTGTAGCTTTGAGGTCCAGATTAACGACTTTTGACTGTATATAATTAAAGAGAAAGTATTAGCCCAAAATAATAAATTTAAACAACTTACATTGAAAGGAATGTTTAATAAAGCAAACAAATAAATATTGAGCTTTTTTATGTAAATTTGGATCCCTTAAAGTCATAAATGCTTTATTATTTCCTAAAACACCATTTCAGCACACATTTTATAATTTCTTCATGTCATCTTACTAGATTTAAACTGATGATCTGAAATCCTGAAAAATCCCACTTCTGGAATCGCCTGAGTTCCTATGAGTCCGGATCTCGGACTTTGTAGTCTGATTTGCTTTATTCCATTTTGCCAAGAAAAGGTTTCTAAGGAGTGACCTACTTTCATAAAGTGAGAAAAGGCTGTATTTTTGCAAAACCTCTTACAGTGGCCACCACCTACTCACTGATTATTAAAGTCAGCCACTTAATACATTTAAATTTTCAAGAAGCAAAACGAATATTTCAATAGAAAATCTGCCATTTATTAAACTCATCTGCTACTTGTACTTATCAAAACTTTTTGTAGTCACCCATTAAACATATTGTAGACTGTGACTATTATTCTGCTATGTAGTGATAAAATGGGTTTGACCGAAATTTTTCTTTGCTCCAGTTTCTTTACCTGTGAGATAATGTTTTTGGAGTTCTGTGTTCACACTAGACTTCAAAGAGACTTAATTTCCTTATCTTAAATTAACAAAAATAATCAACAAAAGAAGTAAACAAATCAGGCTGTTTCTGAACCAACAAAGCCACAAATCAAAATTTAAAACTTAAAATAATCTCAGAAAAACAAATTAACCTGTTTCTTTATCCGTCCAACCCATACAGGCAGTATGGAGAAAAATATGAAATTATAGCGCCCAAAATATTTTTAAAAAATTTTAAATATTATTTTGAGCAAAAACAAAGCAAGAGATGCAAATATAAGCAATCTAATACATGAAAAAATAAAAATGTAGGTAAATTTTGAATCCATACCAGTCGGGTTAAGTATTCTTAAAATTTTTATTAAGAGGACTAATCTGAAAAACCAGGTCAGTTTCACATCCATGATCAAATCAAGATACTTCATTTCAGAAACAGAAGAACTATGTACAACTTTACAAGTATACTTACAATTTTTATACATCCAGTAAATACCATAGAGGTAAGCAAGGAGTGGCCAAATCGGCACTAGAAGTGAAGCACTGCTCCGAAGCTTCAGTCACCAGATGGGGTGTTTTTTGTTTACATTCAGAAACTCGCTTGACAGCACTCTGGTAGTATAGTTTAGTGACATTTAGGCAAAAATCACATCTTGGTTATTTTTTGATAACTAACAACAGCGATTTTGATTATGAATTTGTTTTATAAAATTCAAAGTTGTTGAACTACAAAAATATAGATTTTAGCAAAAATGTTATGCTTAAAAAAAGAAGAAAAAATATCTTACGGTACCTTTAAAATTATGTACATCTTTCGAAACCCTTGATAGAGTTTTTCGCTACGTTTATTTTATGTTCCAAATGCCAAAATGTTTTTAAAAAATTTTTTTCATATCCACATATTATTGTAACATGTACTTTTTAAAATTTTTTAGAGAAGAGGCTTTACTGTTGCTTATTTTAAACTCATCATTTTATTTTTATATATCTGAAAAATAATCACTTTGGGCTTATATGTTTTACTTATTTGGGTTAATGAAAATAAAATTACCACCAAATGTTGCAATCTCATCAAAATTAATAAATATACACACAGATATGCCAATAAGTTAACTTTTCCTTGATTTGTAACCACACATTTGTGTAAAATTATATACAGTTTTACACAAATGTGTGGCACAGAAGACAGATACATTTGCAAATTTGAGGGAAGTACCATGTGCGGTCAATTTATAATGATTATAAATATTATCTAAATATATAATAACCTTAATATTGAATTGTAAACATAAATTGAAATCCTGTTGACAAATACATTATAAAACTATTTGAGCAAGAATTGGTCGTACTGGAACACAATCTGTTAAAAGGTATTGTAAAGCAAATTCTATGAGATTCGTACTAAGAAAGTAATAAAGAAGAGTTTTGGAATATGTATTGTTGAAATTAAGGGTAAAAAAATCTGATAAGTATAATTAAAAGAATTATTCCTCTTACATTTTATAATAACTCAGTTACAAGTTTTAAATAATTTTTTTAATCCTTATTTCATTCCCTTTCAGAAATATTCAGAGAAAGTTAAGTACTATTTAAAGTGTTTTGCTATTAAAATAAAAGGTGCTCTAATTTGAAATGGACCGAATAGAGCATTAATTATAAATTGACTTATATTTTTCGATTTAAAGGATGCCTCAGAAGCTAAAAAATCATGTCGTATTTGAGAAAGTATTTTAGGAAGAAGCTCTATAAATAGAAAAGAAATAATGCATAATTTTAATATTAATAATACAATAAATTTTTATCTTAATTTTTATAATCCTTAACCGAATAAAATCGAATTACCTTAATTTTTTTTTTCTAACGTAATTAACGAAAACTTGTGAAAATATTTCATTCAAATTAAACCATTCTGAGCAAATTGTTCTGTGAGAAGTATAGTACTTAATTTCGTTCAGAATGAAATGTTGTTTAAAAATGTATTCTTTTCATATATTTAGGACTCTGAAGTAATGTAGAAAAAGAAAATATATATATATGTATATTTACAACGTAATTACAAAATATTTACATCCGATCATGTCAAAACCTATTGAACTTAATGGTAAATTACCCAATGTTTTCAAAACAGGGTATTGGGGAAACCGGTTACGGCCACTCGATCTTACTTCCTACCTCCATTGTAAATACCTCCAAACTTCATTTACGTAAATCCTATCATAAATAACAATTTGTTAAAATTAAAATGACCAAAAGTGTAATTTTTAGAGAATTAAGTTAATAAAATTGAGTGGTATTAGATTATTAATGAGTGGAATTTTTAGATATATTGAATTTCTTGATTAATGTCATAAACTGAAGGGATCTATCATCATAACATCATCATCATATATGCTGTTAGGTGGTGGTCATCAATAGTAAAAGAGTGAATAATAAACTTCAAATAAAAAATTGTACAAAAGCAAAGTGAAAGTTTTAATTTTTTGTGATGATACAACAATTTAAAAGTTAACATTAATAAAATAGGCATTTCAATAAAGTGCTTATTGAATATATAAATATTAAATACCATTGTTATGCATACATTATACAAGTTCCCGGACTGAGTTTATAACTTGAAAAATATTATGAATTAAATTGCAGAAACACATCCCCCTTTGAAGTTATTGTTTGTTTAATTTATTAAACAATATACATATATATTGTATGATAAATTTTTAGTCTTCCTCTGCAATGACTACATACTTTGACCTTAAGCATCAATTGGGAATAACTGAACTCGCTGATAATTGAATTATCTCATCGTTGAAAAATTGCCCAAGGCTCACCAGTATTATTCTCATGAGAAAAGGAATATATAAGCAATAACATGCCTTCTCCAAAGTTTGTGACCCCACCAGCAGCCGAGCGGTAATGTCGCTGAACACTGGTAGTTCGGTCCGAAGTTTGAATCCCGTGAACGGGCTGATTGCATGGGTGTTTTTGTGGTTTTCCCCATGTGTAACGTGTATACGAGCCAGTTTCCCTTAGAAAATCCTCCACGAATCCCGCTCCTTAGGCAGATAGCCCTCGTGTGCTTTGCCATAATTAAATACACCAACAGAGTTTGCACCTAGACCTGATAATATGGCTGCTATCACTACTAGCCACCATAATGAATAGAGCAGCATAAATCTGTAGTTAAACTTTGAAAATACTTAATGCATATATAGTACAAAGTCTGTAATCCGTACATCCATTATCCAGAATGATCTATAATCCAGACCTCAAAGCCACAAACTTTTTTTTTTTTTTTTTCTATGCTTTACGCATTTGCGTTTAATGTTAACGCATGTGTGTTTAGCCCAAAAAAATGAAGCAACTGAAACAACTTGCATTGAAAGAAATGTTTAATAAAGTAAACAAACAAATATTAAGCTTTTTCTTTTTGTAAATTTTGATACCCTTTAGATGATAGTTGCTCTTTATTTCATAAATAACAGTTTCATATTTTTAATTGTATAATTTCTGCATGCCATCTTACCAGATTTAAATTGATGATCTATAATCTGGAATCGCCGAAGTCCCAACGAGTCTGGATTACGGACATTGTACTGTATTAAGATAACTTTTAAAATTTTGTAAGTACTTTTTTCAAACCTCCTTCAAACAAAAATACATGCAGAAGTGGAAAAAATTGTACATAAAATGAGTTTTACCTATACCAATGATTGAATATTTTGTATTTAAAGAATATATTAGTCTTCTCTTTTTAAGAGAGAGAGGGAATGGAGAGTTTCAGTTTGCTCAGTTCTGATTTGTTTATTACATTTGTTCTAAACATGAAATTCAAATAATGCACATGTTTTGCCCCCACCCCCTTTTTTTTTTAAAGTATTCACAATTTTTGTAACAAAAACTGCAGTTGTTCTTTATGAACTACAATAAATTTCTGTGTGCATTGCAAAAATTTGTGTCTAAAAATGTATCACTTGACATATAGCACCCATGAATTAACACTGCAAGCTTTGTCTGTTTAACATAATGCTGTAATAAGTAAGTGTAGTAAAAATTAATATGTAATGATATTTAATTTTTAGCAATTTACCAGGTTCTTTTTGATATACAGTCAAAAGTGTTTAATCTGGACTCTTCGGGACTTCGGCGATTCCAAATTATCGATTTTTCCAGATTATAGATCATCAGTTTAAATCTGGTGAGATGGCATGCAGAAATTATAAAATTAAAAATATGAAACCGTAATTTATGAAATAAAGAACAATTATGATCTAAAGGGTATCAAAATTTCCAAAAAAAAGCTTAATATTTATTTGTTTACTTTATTAAACATTTCTTTCAACGTGCGCATGCGTAAAGCGTACATTACGCATAATCGAAATTAGAAAATTGCAACCAGAAAACTATTTGATTTGTATTCGTGATATTTATAATGACGAGGAATTTGATTTAAATCATATCAAAGACGGAGTACATCAAGATGAAATACTACATTTAGTAAGGAATTATAAGCTGAATAAAATAAATCATCTGTCCTGAAGATGAGGATAGTGCTGACATATCAACTTCCAGTTCATTGCGCGCCGCGACGTTCTCCTCCCCCACAGAGCAGCGTGAAATTGATAAACAGATTTCAGAATGGTTAGAAAAACAAAGGATATGCCTTTATTCTTTTTTTTTTTTTTTTGCAGCAATTCCACTTTTTGTTTGATAGACATCAAAATGTGCTTTCGCTTTGTAGATATCCTTTGGCAGCTCCAGAATCAGAAATTCTTTTTAATATAATCTAACAGTCTGCAAAAAATAATAAGCCGAATCCAATTTAAAGATTAAGAAAAAACGCAATCTGCAACATTAACTGAAATAGATAATTAGATAATTTTAGCTTAGCTTATACCGTCTGTTATACATTAAACGCGTATGCGTGGATGCATATGCGCATGTGTAAAGGTATTGCGCGCATGCGTTAATGCATGCGCAGAAAGTTGTAGCTTTGAGGTCCGGATTAACGGCTTTTGACTGTATTGTATTTTTCAAAAGCAAATGATATTTATAAAAATTAGAGCATGTTTATTAAAATTTTGCTGTAAACGTAGATGATTAGAAATAATAAAAAAGGATTTTTTTTTATTCTTAATTCAGTTTTTTTAATTTTTTATAAATTTCGCTTATCTAATTTTGTTGTTTTGGAGAGGAGTGCCATATTAAAAATAATAATAATCTACACAGCATAAGTTAAAAAAATATGGCATTCAATTTTAATTTTGCTTACCAATAAGTGTAATTTTGATGTTTTGTTCAGAATTTCTTAATATCTTGGGATGCCCAATGGAATTTGTATCATGCGTATTTCCATTGTCCTAGGGAAAATCCCAAAAATCCGTAAGACCTAGATTAATTTGAAACTTTGCAGTTGAATAGTATGTAATCTATGTATGCACAGGAATATATTGTTGATTAAAAAAACACACACACTTTATATATGTAGTAAACAGTTTAGTGTGATGTACAGTACAAAGTCCGTAATCTGGACCCGTCGGGACTTCGGCGATTCCAGATTAGGGGTTTTTCCGGATTATATATCATCAATTTAAACCTGATAAAATGGCATGCAGAAATTATACAATTAAAAATATGAAACCATAATTTATGAAATAAAGAGCAATTATGATCTGAAGGGTATGAAATTTTACAAAAAGAAGAAGCTTAATATTTATTTGTTTACTTTAGTAAACATTTCTTTCAACGCACGCATGCATAATGTATGCACATTCTTTACGCGCATGCGTAAAGTTTGTGGATTTGAGGTCCGGATTATAGATCATTCCGGATTGCAGACTTTGTACTGTAGTACAATATATATACGATATGCAAAATCTTCTGTATACTACTAGAACAGGCTTTGATTTCAAAAGTCCTGAAGTCAGAAGATCTAGAAATTTTCACCTTGTACAGGTGACAATATTCATCTATTTGCTTTATTTAAAAATAATTGTTCTTATATATTTGGAACTGTGTTGTTTTGCTATAAAGTTACTCATTTTTCTATAAATTTGGAATTAAATATTATCTTTTATATGTGTCATTTTGATTCTGAGAATCTCTACACATTTGTTCCCATTCTCAGTTCTTTTGTGTTAGAAATGTTTAAAAATGTTAATTTCTTCTTTGTGGGTGTATTTTTCCTAACAAATTAGAATCATGTCTGAAATGAAGAATTCAATACAACCCTCCATTTACTTTAGGTTGCTGCCAAGAAATTGCCATAAAAATCTTACAAGGAGGGTTTAACAGTATAAATTGTCTATTTATCATGACGAAAATTACAAAATAATTTTGGCTATTATATTTTGAGTTATACAAATTGATGGAGAATGTCACAAAATGCATATTGAAAAAGATGCAGTATCCGAAGTTAATATTTAATGTTACTAGAAAATAAATAAAAGTGCAAAGAAACCTTGCAATATAATTATTTCTTTTTGCAATATATTCAACTTAAAATAATTTAACCTATACATTTGTTTTTGCTTTACAGTTTTAGATTTGTTGGACGTGGAGCGCTTACCGTTTCCTCCCAATAAACCACCTAAATATGTTCGAGCAATTTTATACAAATACAGCTATACTTCGCCCACTAGTAGCAGCAGTACTAAGAAGTAAGTGTGTCTGTGATTATTTTTAAAGTACTGTTTGTGAGTGCATATGTGTATGTGTGTATATGCATATACATAAGGTTATTCAAAATGATGTTTAGTAGTTTAAAAAAACTGTAACAAATTCATTTTTAAAAACAGAGATACACCAGAACAGGTTTAAATGGAAGGAAAATTCAAATATTTTTTCATTTCCTGTAGTCTATTAAGTACAGAAGGTGTGGTGGTGCCGTGATTGCTTGAACAAAAATGATGTCTTAGGAAGAAAAGAAATTTGCTATCTTTCTACATGTGAAATTGAAATCTGTAATTATGGTCCAACGTGCATTTCATAGATAATTTGGTAAAGGTAGTTCAACTGACAAGAGCATTCGAAAGTGGTATCACCAGTTTGAAGAAACAAGCTGTCTTTGAAAAGGCAAATGCATAGGGAGGCTACATGTTTAGTAGCAAGAAAGTAGGAAAGATAAGAGTTACATTTATGGTGCCCAAAGAAATCAACTATTAAAGTGTGTTATAAACTGTAACTTCTGCAAACAATGGTGGGGTTTGTTTTGATAAAATGATTACAAATCAAACCTTACAAATTGCAGGTGACTTGAGCTGTATTTCCTAGAAATACAGAATAGTAAATGGAGTTTTGCAAGAACATGCAGACCTAGCTGGTATTCAGTGACAACTCATGCAACCCATGATGTTCCACATCAGTGAGAAAGTTAACCGGCACAATGTGCAAATCTGGCAGACTGAAAATCCTCACTGTATTGTTGAGCATGAATGAAATTTGGCTGAAATGAATGTGTTCTGTGCATTTTCGGAGACCAAATCGTATGGGCTGTTCTTTTTCGAGAAAGAGTGACTTAAAATGCCATATCTTGATATTTTATAGATCTTGCTTTTCCCACAATTACAGGAAGACTCAAGTAATTCTTTCATCTTTGAACAGGATAGTGCACCTCCACACTGGAAGCTGGAAGTATGTGAATTCGTCAGCAGTGGGATTCCTAATTATTGGATTGGCCATGCTGAAACAAATGATAAAGTGGTGTTTAATTGAGACTTAAGTCACCAGTTAATACCCCATGTGACTTTTTCTTGTAGGACTTTGTGAAAGACAAAAGTGTATGTGCCATCACTGCCGCAAAACTTGGAGTTCATATGAGCACATATAGATAGTGGTCTGAACTTAGTAACACCAGATGTGCTCAAATGACTGTGGGAAGAAATGGAATATCATCTGGATGTTGTCCACATGGCCGGAAAAAGTCATATTGAACACTCATGATGCTATAAAATTTAAATATTTCATTTGTACTTTCCTTTAAATTTATTCTGGTAAGTATTTGTTTATAATTTATTCTAGTATGTTAAAATGCTGTACATCATTTTGAATAACTCTATAATAAAAATAAATAAGTAAATATAATTAATAGTATATTTTAAAATTCATCCTGTTTTTAAATTCAGAACAAACCATATGTCAGCCCCCCCCCAAAAGGGAAGTAGCATAGTGGTAAATTGCATGATAGGTGCAAAAAATGCCAAATCCAAAAATGTAAAGGAATTTAAAAAAAATATTTACATCTGCATCATCATCAAAAGGTGGTGCAATGAAAGAAGAAAATAATGTAACTTGTATCTGAACCAACAAACATACAAATTAAAGCTTCAGTGCTTGAAATAATCTCAGGAAATCAATCTCCATTATTAGTCTAACCCCTACAAGCCGTAGTAGTCATAATAATAAGCACAAAAAATTGTAAAATTATAGCATCAAAATCTTAAACAAGCTTAAAAGATTTTTTATTTATTTTTTGAAGCAGACCGAGTCCAGAAAATAAAACATAAATACAAACAATCTTGTGCATGAAAAAAAAAATAACATATAAGAAATTTTTTCAAAATCATAAACAAGCAAAAAAAGTTTAAAAATCTAATAAAAAGTATTTTCTATTTAAGCGAGCTGAGTCCAAATAAAACAAAACATGTAAACAGAAGCAATCCAACACATGAAAAGATACCAACTGAAAATTTGATCCAAAAGACATAAAAGAAAAAGAAGTTCTTAACATTACAGCAACAAATGTTTTTAAATGAAAAAATATTAATTCAACATGCCCAGTAGCGAAAGACTTGTTAAACCAAGAAGTATATGTTAAATTATGAAATTAGATTAACTACAAGTTTTAAACTGATTAATAATAATAAAAATTATTAAAAAGAACTGATAATGTAACATGAAATATGATGTATTAAAAATCAGTAATTTGTAAAACGGTAAACATAAAATTATCTGGATTATGAAATCAAAATCAAATTTGAGTTGTTACCTGCCAAAAAATTAAGCTCAAGAATAATGAAATTTTTAAAATTCAGCGATCTAAAAAGTTGTCGTGCTTTTTTCGAAGAAGTTATAATAAGTTTTGAAGAATAAATAAATACAAAAATGTTAATAAATAATTGTAGTGATGAAAAGAAATGTGTGGTGTTAAAATTGGGATAAAGTTAGGTCAATATTAGGTCAATATCTAGTAAACTGTAAGCAAAGTTATGGGCAATCTTAGAGAATGCAAATAAGGAATTTAACAGAAATATTACAAATTACAGGAAACCTAAAAGAGAAGGCAAAAAATCAAAAAAAAGTTGTCCAGTATTATAGAATATAGGACTCGCTCAGGCCTTTCTCGAGGCTTGGAAGCTGAAGTAGGCCCATTTTTTTATTAAAAGAAATAAGATAATTATTAAACAGTCTAATCTAGATTAATCTAGAATTTTGACAGGAATATCTACTATGCCTCAGACATGCTCGACAGCAAGGTCTGATAAACTTGCTGGCCAAGGAAGTGTATCAACCTCCTGGAGACAGTCCAGAGATAAGCGAGTGGTATGTGGCCTGGCATTATCTTGTTGGAAAATAGCCCCAGGATGACATGCCATGAAGGGTAATGCAACTGGCTGCAGGATAGTATCAACATATTGTTGAGCTGTTAAAGCAGGGTTCCTACGGTCCTTAAGAGTCCTTAAAAGTCCTTAAATTTTTTGGAACTGATTTTTGGTCCTTAAAAGTCCTTAATTTTGGCCAAAATCAGTAGAAGGTCCTTAATTTTAATCATCTGAAATTTCTGTCTGTTTTTACGACTGCCATTTTGAGTGTGAATTAGCATTTTGGAGGAATATTTTTGGCGATTCAATGACGTATATGGTTATCTTTTGAATGGGTTCATGGGTTATAATTTGTTTCTATTTTTAATATAAATAATGGGATACTCAAGTTTCTAAGCAAGAAGTGAAACATAAGCATTTCGAAATTTATTTATTGTAATAAAAAGCTCTTAAACAATTTTTGCTTTTGGGAATGTGAATTCTTTTATTAAACGGTTCTAAATTTGGCGACTTGTCAACATTTTGGCGATTTTAAGACCAGTTTGTATAGAAATAACATTAAAATAAAACATTTTTATTTTCTGCTGTCATATTATAAAGTTTTATTTTGGCAACTTATTATACAATATTTTGAATCTGAAAAATAAACAAGGTATAATGCTATAAAGCACAATTTATGAAACAACTCTTAGCAAAAGCAAAATTCTATGTAATTAATTAAAAATATCTTCTTTTTAATTTTTTCATAGTAAGCGTTTTTCCCATGTAATTGTCTCAGAATATTCAAAGTTCTCAGAATATGCATCAGTTTTATCTTTAAAAGTAATTTTACACTTTTCCCTTCTTTTTTTTTTTTTTTTTTTTTTTTTTTTTTTTTTTTTTTTTGCAAAATATTTCTGGCTTTTTGCTGTTACAGAATTGGTTGGGATAATTTTTCTTTAGTATTTTTGACATTGCAGCTTGGAAAATTTAGAAGAATTTGAAAGCAAGATTTATAGACCCACGATTCTAGAAGATTCAAGAAATATGTTACAAAGTGAAAAATGTCTTCATGGTATCAACGCGTAATGGATGTATTTTACAGTATGTTTGCGATGAATTTCTTACTTTTTGGAGAACGTCTGGAAGAACAATGAAGACATGAATAATATTTGAGTGTTTTATTCCTGATACTAGAATCTTAACATGTTTATCTTCCCTTTATTTTCTCTACTTTTCACTAGACACAAGCATGGAAAATATCAAAAATGCTTCTAATCGTATCACTTGGGCAGGCATTATAGAAAGGGATTTTTTTTATTAATAAAAAACTTACAATTTAAAAGATCCATCTAATATGTTTTAATGCATCATACACAGAGCTATGCATCATACACATTTTCCCATTTGATGCAATCTCTGTGGATCCTAAATTCGACTGCATAGTGCCTTTCTAAATTCTGCTTCCAATGCCTGTCTAAATTCTAAAAGTTTTGCCATTTCTATATTTTGTTGTTTGGTGTGTCACTAAATTCTAAAAATTCTGCCACATCAGCTCTGTTACCGGCCTTTACCATATATATATTTCATATTTCTTCTGAATTCCATATTACTAAAGAAATTAAATTATTTACTTTTTCTATACATTCTAAATGCATTTAATGATTTAAAAAAAAAAAAAAAAAAAAAAGAAAAAAGAAAACAGAAATCCTTAATTAAATCCAAAAATTTTAAAATGAAAAAGAAACATGCTGAAGAAAGAAACTGAATACACAAAGAAAATTATTCTTTAAAGATATGTGCAGTTATTATTATGTAAATTACTCAATTGTTTATGATTTCAGCCTTTACTATAATTTTCCATTTCTGTTTCCTCATATGATGGAGTTACTGAGCCAGATTAAATTTAAATTAAATTGTATAATTTTTGACCACTTAGTCCACACTTTTTAGTTTGACTATTCTTGTTTTGACTGTTCTTGTTTAATTACGTCATTGTGAGATATAATTGACTTTGTTAGCATCAGAACATGTGTTTATGTTTGTTCTAAGTTCTTTTCAAATAAGAGGCGTATTTAAACCTTTGTCCGATATTGTAGTTACTTTCAGACATAGTGATAATTTGCTTCACGTCTATCGGG